TGTGGTTCAATATAAGCTATAGCTGTACCATTCATTGCTGCACCATTCAAGCCTGGTGATGGTAGAGCTGTCTTAAGTGTTTCACCTGTTGGTAATGGAATAGTTTTTGGAACGTAACTAAGACAGAAAAAAAAAATAATCCAAATTGAAATTTCTTTTTACAGATATATATATATATTACATACCGATTATAAATACCAATAGGAACTGGTGGCGTTTGTTGAGCAGTTTGCATAGCTGCCATTTGTTGTTGTTGTTGTTGTAGAAGCCATTGTTGTTGTTGTTGTTGTTGAATAAGCCATTGTTGTTGTAATTGTTGTTGTTGTTGTATAAATGCTTCTGATGTTAGTTCATGACTACTATTACTAATAGGTAATTTTGATCTTGAACGTTTATCAGGTGAACGTGATCTATGTTTTCTTTCATGTTTAATTGCAATATCATTTGAACGTTTAGTTGGTGAAGATGATGTTTGACCTCTTTTTTGACTTTTATGACGTCGATGACTATCTTCTCCATTAGTAAAACTATCTTTTATTGAATTATAAGCAAGTTCAGGTATCATTGGTGTTAAAGCTTGATTAAAATTTGTTTCATTATCTCGAATACGTATAATACGTCTTGGTGATGATTGTCGAGTATTTATTGTATTTCGATGAAGTTCATTTGACATTGGAGATTTAGTTCGTGTTGGTGGAGAATACATTGGATTATTACCAAATGGATAAATATCACCTGCTTGTGAAAAACGATTATCGAATGGACTTGAATAGGGTACAGGTGGAACTTGTTGACTATTATTTGCTTGTTTAACAATACGAAAATCATCACGTAATAATTGTGCATCAGATGGATGAACAACATATAATAAAACACCTTTCATATTTGATTGTAATTCATCATAAACAATACAAATAACATTATTTATATTTGGTAACATAAATATATCATGTACAAGTCCAATTGGAATAAAGACTGGTATACGTGTTCGAGCTACTTGAGGGTCTTGTGCATTAACTTGAATTCCAACTCGATTAATACGAATCCAAACAGCCGTTGCTAAAATAATAAATTTAAAAAAATAAAATCAATAGAAAATAATTTACATACAATAAGGTTGTCCAGCTGCAGCATGACTAATAATACTACGAATTGTATCTGGTGTATAAGAACTAACTAATGTTGAATTGAGTGGAAAACCTGAATAACGTCGAATTACAAGGCCATCATTTCCATTATTATATGTCGGTAATTGACTCATAATTCGTTTATTTTAACAAGGAAATTATCCTTATTATTATTATTATCTAAAAATGAATACAAAAGACTGTATATATGATACTAATAGGACTAAACGGATAAATGATGACCGATATATCCCATATCGAGGTGCTCTTTATACTAAAACAATCTTTGACTGCTTCGATAATAGGTGAACGTGCGTGATAGACATACATACATGCATAAACATATCTTATCTTTACACATCAATGGTTACGCTTCAGTTGCGTATGTCTCCATTTTTTTTTTTCGTATGCCTTTTAAAAAGTATATACAAAAGAATCATGAAAAAGTGCGTACAACAAAAAAGTTTTGCAATCTGATTTGATCAAATGATTGATTTTTGCTTACATTGAATCTGTCGTCAATCCGTATCGTAGACTTGCGCTTCATATGAAAACGTCCCTTTTGATATATTATTACAAATAAATGAGAAAGAAAAGAAAAAGACTCATAACTATAATATTTTTTTATGTTTGTTTTATATATACATATATATATATATATATATTATACTAGACATGATAGTTATATGGACAAGTTTGGCAAATTATCAAAACAAAAAGTACTAGTAGTTATGTTGAAATAATATAATGAATACTTCGATTTTGTTTCCATTTATTATGCATTAACCTTGTATATTTAACAAAGATAATCGTTGTAGGCATACTAAGAGAAAAAATAATATATATATTGTAATAATATTTTTTTTTTTTTGTTTTGTCTATTGTATACCTAAATACAATAATTCCTATTAAAGCACATACACCAGCAGCTATTCGTGCTTCGAACTAAATACGAGAAAAAAAAATGATGTACGTTTGTTTTATTTCCTTTTTACTTACTGAACGAGGATATATATCACCATAACCTAACGTAGTTAATGTAATAAAAGCAAGCCAAAATCCATCTAAAATATGAAGTATCATTAATTTATCCTTGTAGAACAAAAAAAACCCTTTCTTTAAAATCGAAAAGAATTCAGCATAGTAATAATCAGATATATATGTTTAAATCTAAGCACTGTTCAAACTGATGACAACATTTGATTTAATATAACCTTAAATCAAGTATGATATCATCGGACAGCATACTATTTTACTTTGCTAATTAGAAATGCTTATTCTTACCAAGGATATTTCTTGTATTTGATTCCGGTTCTGAATTATCGATGATATAAATCAATGCACCAAATAGTAACATACAGAATATAACTGAAACAAAAAAAAGTCTTGATTGTTTGTTTGTTTTTTTTTTTTCATTAATAAATTTTACCTGAAATAATCAATGCACAAACTTCATTTAAACTAATAGCAACTGCTTTATATAATAATCTTAAATGTAACAAATATCTTGTTAATCGATAAATACGAAATGATTTTAAAATAAGTAACCAATAATAAAATGAAAGAAAATTATTTATATGACGAATATTATGTAAATGATAACTAATTAAACAAATTGAACCAGATAAAATAATTATCTGAAAAGAAGAAGAAAAAAAATAAAACGAAAAAATTTTTTTTTTCTGTATTCTTTTTTTTATTGTTTTTAAAATAATTTATATTTTACTAAATCAAGAAAATTAATTATATCATAAATAATCAATGAAAATTTTGGTGCAGATATTATTCGTAAATTTAATTCAATAGTAAATATTATTATAGAAATAATTTCAATTATATAAAATGAACGCATATATAATGGAAAATATATTTGTTTGACACCAAGTATATTTTGAAGTTTATTTAATTCAGTTACTGTCGGTATAATTCTAAAAATTGTTTTCTTAGTATTAAATATAAAAAAAAAACAAAATCAGAACTAACTCTCCTATAAATGGTATACATGATAATAATGTTGCTAATATGCATGTTCCTATTACTAATTCACTATATGGAAAATCAATACTTTTTGGATACATAAGAGTTTTCCAAATAATTCGACGCCATTTTTCTGCTGGTAAAAAACGAATATTATCTAAAGGTATCTAATATTCCTTTCTTTTTTTTTTGGAAAAAAATTGATAAATCAGAAAAAAAAATTTACCATGTCATCTTCGATAAATGTTTCCATAAGACTTTCATTTATTTTCCAAAAACGAAGTTCATCATAGAAAATTTCAGATTCAATATGAGGCGGTCTATTAAAAAGAAAAACAAATTTCTAATTCGAAAAATCAAAAGAAATCTACCGAATAAGAATTCCAGGATTTAAATAATAATAAAGTATAGATTCAAATATGGATGGATGTCGATTAAATCTGTATAAATGTAATTTATTATCGTAGAATAGACGTCGTTTATCTTCATTACCCAATAATGTTTCAGGAAATATTTTTAACTAAATAAAGAAATTATTTATATTTTATTTTATTTTAATTATTAAAAGTATAAATAATATTTTCAAATTTACATTATTGAGGTTTGTTTATAAACTTTCTGAATTAGATTTCTAATTACTTAGAACTATTTACAAAGTCAAAATTACCTGCCTATCAAACAGTTTGATGAATAGATTTTATCTCGAAAACTAAAAGCATGAGAATTCAAAACACTAAAAACTTCCAGAACTCGTTAAGCGTACTTGGTCTCCTCTTTTTATCCATTTTTGATTCTTGAAGAGGGGTAAAACCGATTTGCATGACATTTTTAGCACCTAATATATGAAGACACATGTTCGAAGAAAATATTTTTCAATAAGGTTTTTGCTTTTATTTTTCAGGAGAACCGTGATTTTTCATAGGATCATATCAGAATCGCTTATACATTTCGACAGTTTCAAAAAGATTATGGCTATAAAAATCGAGGACTACTTAAGTAAGAATACAAATCGTATTCTGAAAAGAATATGAACCCTAAAAACTTAGAATCTAGTGTAATATATCGATAATACGTGACACTACAAGTTTTCGAATTCTAGGTTGTTTCTTTACTCAACAAATGACGCTTCATATATGAAGAACAAGAACTACATCAGAGATAAACACAGGACAAGATTTTCTATTCTGTTCTGTCCTGCTAGCTACCTCGGTCCTGGCTGGCGGCAGGACAGGACAAAAATCAAAATCTCGTCCTGTTCCGTGCTCATCTGTGAACTACATAAGCTCATGACACTACGATGTATATCTTTATCTGTACATCTCTGGTATGTAATACAATGCCGATAAACTTCGAAAAGACTAATGAAATAGTCACTGAGATATCATCTTTCGGAGTCCTCATGCTAAATGAAATGCTATTGTGATTAATATGTGTCACTTTTTGTACTCAATTAACCCATAATCTATAGTGACTGAGACATCAGTAGCAAAAAAGTTTAGATCAAATGTAAATGAAGAATTGTATGTCATTTAAAAGTATTCGACAGAGAAAAGATGATGGTATATCGTATCTTTAAAAAGAAAAAAACAAACTTATTGATTCAATTTATATTTATTTAATCTTGAAATCAATCGAATTCTTACTTGACGATTTTGTACAATAAATTTTTTTCCTGAAATCATTATTGTAATACGATCTTGTTGTTCATCTTTAAGTAATGGTTGAAGTGTTATTAATTTTTTAAAATTTAATACTTCTTGTGAATTCATTCGAACTAATATTTTAGTTGCTAAGCTATTTGTTTCAAATTCATTACTAAAAGAATGAAAATTGTTGTTTATTTGTCATGAAGAAATACAAAAAAAAAAAAAGTAACAAAAATAAAATGTGAAACTGTTATTGTTCGTGATCTAATCGAAATGATGGATTTTCTTCACCATGTAGATCATCTTTTATTAAACCAGATATAGTTGGAATTGGTTGCGGTCGTATATGATTAATAACTTGTTGTTGTTGTACAGCATTATCATTATTATTATGTTCAATACGTAGTATTGGAGATGTTGTAGCAAGTGATGTATAATGAATTGGTATTGGATGTTCTGATATAATTGAACTACGATCAGCACTTGATCCTCCTATTGATATACGATATGCAGCAAGTATATCAAGATTACATAATGGACAATGACGATGATTAATTAACCATGGATCAATACATTGCTGATGAAATCTATGATGACAAGCTAAAAAAAAATTTTTTTTTATTTTGTATTTTTTCATCTTTGATATTTTTCTTCTACTTACTTAATTCTCGTACAATATCACCTTCTTTGATTGTATCTAAGCATACAACACATGATTCTTCTGCTTGAATATTTTCATTTATAGTTACTAATGGTATTTTTGTTAAAGCTTTTTTAGCAGCATTAATTAAACGATTTTCTAAACGATCTTTAGTTGAACGAGAACGATTTTGTTGAAAACAATAAAAAATAAACCATGAACAACATGAAAAAATAAGTACACAAGTTGATACAACAATAAATATAATTGCACCTCGAGAACCATACCATATATCATCTTGATTTGAATTATCAGAATTCGAATTTATTGGTTCTAATGTTATATTTATATGTGTTCGACGATCATTAGCTAATTGAAATAATAATGAACCAATAGTTCGTTGAACATATAAAGATAATATATTTGTATCATTTTGTATAATGTCAAATGTATCTTGAGCATTATTTTGAGGATCATAAATAATAACAGCTAAAATACAAAAAAAAAAAAAATTAAACTTTTGTTTTTTTTTCTTGTGCTTGGCATAAATAGTAACTATGCACTTAACTCAAATAGTTATTTAAATAATCGATGGAGTAATACATTCTAAAGAAAGATTTTACAGGTGAACTATGCTATAGAATATATAACTCCATCGGCCATTAAATCACTATTTAGATTTGAGTTTATTGCTTAATATAATAGAAAAAAAAAATATCAGAAATACATTTTTGTTAAAGTTTTTTTTCACCATCTTATACCTGAGTCTTTTATTATTATGCTTGACTATTACGTTTTACAAAATTGCAAACTACTTGAATGAAAAAAATTTTCTTCGCATTAGAAAATCATCAACGAAAAAAGAAGAATTCGGAAGTGTATTATTTTCGAGCTGAGATTAGGTGCATTCTTTCAGGATGGAAGAAAACCAACATTTGCAGGATCTCCATAACAATAATTCTAAGGATCTCAAGTCTTTTCAGAATATTTAAACTTCATTGGAATCTACATGATGCATATAATGCCGATTCAAATGTTTGATAAGTAGAATTTTTAACTAATAAATATCACATTTTTGTCAAATATGAAATTCCAATAAAAATCTTGTTAAATACAAAATTTAATTTCTTCTAAAAAGTCTATCATAAAGTAATAAAATCTTATCGTAAAACTCTAGATAAGAGTATCATAAACTAAATATCACTTAAAATAAGAAGTCATATTAACAGTACATTAATAACATATCAATGACCTTCTGTTTTTAATACATATATGTCTAAGATAGAATCCATTTTAAAGTCGATGCAAAAGAACGAAATATTGAATAATAAATTCTAATTTTCATTTCATTAGTACAACATAGCGCACACACACTTGTGTTTTTTTTTGTTATGAAGCAGTATATTTATTTATATTATAATATATGTAAAAATAATTTCGTCTACGTCTGCATAAGAAAAGGATGGTCCAAAGTACTTTTATCAACATAGTACATTTCTCGATGTTAAATCCATAGACAAGAGAATAATTCTTTTATTTCAAGGAATATGAAATCTTAAAAATCTTCTCTTGATTTTTTAATAGAAGAATTCACTGGTGAACTTTAACATTTTGTACAATCATACTCTTCAATTGTACATGTGTTTATCTACAATTGATAATCTTTTCAATGGTGGATTCCTCGAAAAAGGTCTTACTATGTATTTCTTACTATTTTGAAGTTTAAAATGCTTACGTATCCTGAAATGAACGATTCTAGAGAAGGACAACAACTCATGCTCTACATAGGGAATAATCAAAATATTTTCTTTGTATTCATTCTGTTGGTGACTAATAAGAGATTTTGTAAAAAAAACATCTGTATAATTCATGTTTGATACACCCTAGTACCTTCTTCCTGAATATCGATTTTTTTTTCTTTTTATAATTATGCAATTTCACTAATGAAAGCATTCACAGGTAAGCGAAGTTTTTACGATATTAACTGGATACTTCTACGATACATAATTCATACTGATATCGATAAAGTTATCAATAACTTGTTAGAAAACTAAAATATCGTTTTTATTTCCAGGCCCCACGATGTGCCGGGGGCTAGCCCCCGGCATTTTTTAAGCGTGTCTGCGAAAATTTTTAATACTGTCTGGCAAAAATGTGTAATATAGTCTGCGAAATTTAATTTTACGGCTGCAGTCGACTGGTCACGTGATAATATGAGCGGTGAAAAATTTTTGTGTTGACACAATTTTTCCGAAGATTTTACTTAGCCCTGGAGGAGGGAGGAGGTATCTTCGCCGCGCCCCCCCCCCCCCTCCTCGGTCATCATTTTTAATGAAAAATTGGGAAGTTCCCAAAAAAATAAGTGACTGTCTGCCAAGTTTTTGTGAACTGTCTGGCAAAAGAAAAAAAGTTTAGCCTCCGCCACTCTCAAAAACAATCGAGAGCCCTGTTTATTTCCAAAGATTTCAGCATAAATTTAAATAGTTAACAATAGAAAAATCATCATGAAAACTTTTAATAATTTATTTTCATTCCTTTCAACATTTTTCTGTATTCACTCCCTTATCTTTCTTGATATTAATTATATATAAAAATTTTTATTTCTTCATTATCTATTCTTACTAATTACAATATGATCATATATTAATACATTAAAAATAAAATAAAAAATTACAAGTTCAAGAATAATTTTCCTTATATGACGTACATTTAAGAAATACTTTTTTCGCTTTTATCTTTCTCAAAACATGACCTGACAATATAGAAGTAAAAAATTGATCTCTTCACATACTAAAAACAATCTATTAATAGCATCTTGTTCAATTTTTTATTACATTTTTCGAGAATTAATTAAAAGGATAATGAATAATCGTCTTGTCATTAACAAGTACAGACACATCTTGTTTCTCACTTTAATTACACAGATATTACGCAGACAGTTTTTTAAAATTATGTTTAATTTTAACTAATATGTATCTACATCCATAATTTAAGACAGTTTTTCTAATGATATATATTTTTAGCATAAAATTAGTTAATAATATCAGACAGGCAAAGTTTTTCCCAAGCGTGTGAATCTTTCTCTCTCTCTCGTACTTGAGTTAATTCAACTAAAAATTTTCTGTTAGCCTTCTCAATCATTCCTCTCCCTAAATATGCTGTCAATTTTACAGACAGACAAGTCTCTATCCAGAGATTCGTAGTCTTATCAATTGAACTAAGCAATTATTTTATACATTCGATATTATTTCATATCAAGTACTACAATTCAACCATAAATTACCTGCAGCACCATATTGTTTTGCACGCGTAATTTTAACACTAAATGTACAATTTCCACCACGTTGTATAATAGCAATTCCATTCGAATAATTTAATGTATTAATAGATTGTTGACAAGCATCATATTTTCCATATGAATCTATTAATGTAAATGCTGGTCCTTTTTGAACATGCATTTGACTACCTTTTGATGAAACAACACCATTTGTTTGATTTTCATATGTTAGATTTAAATAATTTGATAATGAAGAATAATATTCATATGTTATTATTGCTGTCATTTGACTATAAACTAATTGTGGATATAATACAATATATAACAAAAATGTACGGATTATATTTGATAAGAATAAACGTTGATAATTTATCATATTTACCGGGATGATGATACAATTCTTTTCTTTTTCTTTTTTTTTTTTCTAGAATATAAGAAAATATATGAAAGACTTTCTTTTTTTTTTTTTGCTCTTGTTAACCTTGGTCGATGTTGAAAAAATTATCGACAGATGGAAATTGGTCATTTACATAAAGAAAATAAAAGTAACAGATGGATATTAAGGAAAAAAGAAAGAATGAAAGAAAGAATAGTTTGTTAATCTTTTGATCCTTCCGTTTTTTTTTCTTCTTTTCTTTATTAATTTAAAATAAAAACGTTTATAGAAACTTATAAAACTTCATTTTCATATTACAATCAAATCAATATAAAATCTTTAAAAAAAAAAGAAAAAAAGAATTAATTTCAAATCGTTAACATATATAGGTTGACACACACACACTCTCTCTCTTTTTAAGCAAAATCATCATTATATAAATAAATTATTGTCATCTGACATCATATAGGTATAACAAAAGAAATCGTCTTTTGATTGTAATCACTTCATGACTTTTACTAGGCGTTCGTATAATAACAAATATAAGAGAAAGAAAGAAAGAAAGGTATACTCATCATATCAAGGTTGTCTGACGTTTATCCGTCAATAAATGTAATAGGACACTTGCTATAATTATAGTATGAAGAATAAAGGCCACTAAGTCTCTTTAAATATTGCAGAAGTTGGTTATAATTCAAAGAATACAATACGCATACAAAAACATCAAATCGTATAGAATGTTTTAATACAAAAAAAAAACACAGTCAACATACATCGATTTAGATCATTATTGTTTTGGTGTGTAATAGTAAGTAATATACTTTAATATAGACTTTGATTTTTTCTTCATTGGTACATAAAAAAAAGAAAATGCAAACGAATAAGAAAAATAAAGAAAAAGAGAGGTGAGCGAGAGAGAGATAGAACGGAGAGCACGGCTGGTTGCAAATGCACATACAAAAACAATTTTTTTTTCTTTATAAGGTTTATAGGTACTATTGTAATATGCCCTTTCACATTCACTTACCACAATTTTGACATAAACATAAAATAATATTTTCTTTTATTTATTTATGTATTATTTTTTTTAGGAATCATAAGTGTAATATAAAAACAAATTATTAAACAGAATAGATAAGATCGTTTGCAAACGACTATTCAACATTATAGCTTGTAGTATGTCTGTATTTATCATCATTATTAGAAAATGAATGTCACTCACGCGCATCTAATGATAGATAATTATCATCGTGTGACGATGCATTTTTTTTTTTGTTTTTTTTTGTCTTGTAACCTGTAGAAAAATAAACTTTGCCTGTAAAATCATCCTACACAAAGCAGAAAAAAAAAAGAGAGACAAGTCAAGGACACGCACTTTTCATCTAATGAGTCATCAACACATTTTTCAATTAAAGGTTTTAGTTCACACGCGATTGATTCATTTTTTTTGATGTTTACTTTTTCATTAAAAAAACAAAACTACTTATTTTGGTATTATTGAATAATCAACCTTAATAAATAATATTACAATTGAATATACAAACTATTGTTACTATTTAAAGCTTTTCAATGACCTTTTGCCATATTTATATATATATGTATGTGTATGTTTGTAAGACCAAGCTTATAGTGCAGACAATATATAGTCTGTCTGGATGATGAATGTTATTGAAAACGAATCGGATCATTTACTAAATGCTATTGTTTGAATTAGTAATTCATGTAATATAACTTAAGAAAAGATTGAACATCACGTTTCACTTAAGAATAGAATAGTATACAATAAACATATTATTATTATTCATATAGATGATAATACTTTCGATTAAGCCATCGTGTCATCTAGACAAAAGATAAAAAGCGGCTAGATTTTTTTTTTTTTTTTCAATCAAATATACCTATAATCATCACCAACAATTCAGTTCGTGCTAATACGAACTATTTATTCAATGTCTATATATGACGCGACAACGACATCAGTTTAAAAAATTGTACGTGTCACATTAATGATGAACAAAAGAATTGTTGATTTTCTTTTTTTTCTTCCTACACTAAGCCTATAGACAAATATATTTGACAATGAAAAAAGAAAAGAAAAGAATCAATATAAAACCTGCGGTGTTATATGCAATAGATAATTGTTCATACTTATTTCTTCTTTATGCTAATAGCACTTGTTAAAATTCAAAATGATATGTAAACGAAATATATATATATGTCCAAATGAAAATGTTTGATAGATTCATTGAAGCAAATTTTAAAAAAAAATGAATATATCAAAGTAATTCGTCCACAAAAAAAGAACCCCAAATTTTATGCTTATATAATCTTTCCTTAATTAAAATATTTATATTTTCCGTTTTCTTTTTTTTGCAAGCCATCAGAACATTTTCATTATGATAATCGTTATAAAATGAAAGCTAAGGCTTTATTTCTTGAATAATAATCAATCGAATTCATATTAAAGCTGTCTTTTTTACGAATTTTCTTCTAAACATATCGTATTTATAAGAGAAAGAAGAAATATTTCATATTAATTAAAATATAAAAATTCAATGATTTGCAAGTATTTATTTACATATCACTTACAAATAGAATAAAGATTTTATCTTTATTATACAAAATGATCAAAATCCATCAAAGAATTTATTTTGAACAAAATGATAATTATAATCGTACATCATCGTTTTTATTCTCTGTCTAATAAGATACGATGTGTGCATACATATTATAAGAATAAAGAAAAGATAAAGACAAGAAAAAAAAAAAAAAGAAGAACTTGAGTGCACGCAACAAATAGTTTGTTCAAGGACATAATGTAGAGCACATATTTACAAACGTAAAGAGCGAACAAGTACATCTATCTGACACATACAAACAAAAAATAATAAATAGGTTAGAAGTATGAGCAGCAAATTAAAAAAAAATGCAAAGTGTTTAGCTTCATTATTTTCCCGAAATTTAGATTTGCTTAGTGTCATGAGGGAACAATTTTACAAAGAAAAAAAAAAAAAAAAACAAAGTCGACGAAACAAAAAGAAAAGAAAAATTTTCACCGATAATGAAATTATTTAATATAAACCATCACCGTTTTTTTTCTTCTATGTTTATTTTAAACATTAGCCGGACTTTCAAGATGAAAATAATTTCGTGATGTTGGATAGACAGGTGCCGCTGTATAACCTATTCGTCTTGTTTGTTGTTGATAAGATGTATTGATAGGAGTATCCATATTATGACTATATGATGTATATTGTGCTGGTTGTACAGTAAATGTTGATGGATATGGTAAACGCATTGATGATACTGGTATAATAGACGGATGAGGAGATGATTGATGTTGTTTTAATGATTGTGAACCATTTATATTTGTATATAAAAATTGTTTTGGTATAGGTGGATGTGAAGATTTTTGACTATTCATTGATAATGATGATTTACCAGGTACATTTTTTGATGGATAATCATGTATTATTTGAGATTCATAACGTGTTGATTTTAAATGATCAAGTTTTTGTTGTCCATGTAAAGATATTTGATTTGAATCAAAACGATATGGTTGATAACCTTGCTGTTGTTGTTGTTGTTCATTTGATGTTGATGAATATGAAAATACAGTTGAAGAACGATCGTTCTTAAAATAACAAAAAAAAAAAAAAATCTTATGTTAACAAGAAAAATTTCGTTAGTCTGATAGTTTGCAAGACAAAAAAAAAAAAGATTTACTACTCATATTACTCATGTGAAATTTGAATCAAATATTTGAAGGCTTTTTTTTTTGTGCTCAGTTATTATTTAAAAAAGAATACGTCCTTGTTTTTTTTTTTTGTTAGTTTATCAATTTACATTTTGAATTTTAGATGGTCTATTAGCAGATGATGATGATGATGAAGTTGAGTCTTGTCGTGAAGTAAATGGTGGTGGTGGAGGTGGAAAAAATGTTGGACGATTATCATGCGTAGGTGTTTGATGTTGAATAACTATTGTTTTATTTATTCTATTAATTAAAAAAAAGAAATAGCAATTATTCGATTTCCGTTTTTTTTTGTTGTATATTTAAATGATTCATACGTTTCCTCTTGGTGTTCTTTTCGTTTCGATCTAAACAAAATTTGAAAGAATTTTTTTCATAATTCATAAAATAAATTAACTTACTTGGAAGAAAATAAATTCGAAAAACGAAATCGTGGTTTTTCTGATTTATTTAATTTATCATCATTCGCAGTTTCTAAATCATAATTAAATAAACAATAAAACTCTCTCTATTTAACCATTTGTTTATTTCTATTTCTATAGATAACAATAAATCAAGTCTATCGGATTCGAACTTTTTTAAAAACAATTAGACATGCTCTATATGCGATACTTGTTAAAAGCGGATACATTAGCTGCGACTATTCAAGAGAAAAAAAATGCTAATTAACTTCTGATTAAAAAAACTGAACTAATAAATTGTGTCGAAAAAGATCGTCTTGTGTAGTCGATAAGTGATTGAAAAAGAGTAACTGACAAAAGAGATGGAACTAGTCTCAAATTTTGACAACTATTACTAATAGTAGTTTGAGAAGGTTAGGATAGGCCAGTTTACCGGTACTGATTCCATCTCTGACTAACAACTTTCCAATAGTGAATAGTTTTGACTAGTCTTCATCTTGATCTTAGTTTTTCTATTTCATAGGATAATGATAGAATAATTCGATCATTAATTAATTCAAAAAATTAGAATCTTACCATCCTCATTGACATTTTGATTATGACAATAAGATTTATCAACAGCTTGTCGAAATGAATCATTACATGCTCGACTACGTAATTTTGCTTGACGTTTTCGTTCGTCATCATTAATAAGTATAACATTTGGTGATTCATGTCCTTCAGTTGTTGTATGTATACTTTCAAATGATGATGAACGTATAAGAATAGGTGATGAACGATTATTATGATTATTTTTTGATGATGATGAATCAGGCAATGCTCGTACTGGTTGTTCTATTCACAAATAAAAAAAAATAAAAATAAAAATAATATATTTTTAATAAAGAAACAAAAAACACATGCTCATTATGAATATTGTTTGTTTTTTTTTTCAGAGAAAAACATGCTGTTTCGTAATATGAAATAGAACATTTTGTTGTCAAGTTTTTTTTTTTTTTTTTCATGTATGAAAAACATGCAAACACAAAAACGTAATTGAAAAGAGACCTGATCGTCTCGTTACACTATATCGACAATGATTATCTATCTCATTTAGATCATTATCATCATCATCGTCATCAGATAAATCAATAACAGGTGTAAGAATATCAATTGATGCTGTAGTCGATAATGGATATGATTCTGCAATTAATATAATTGAGAAAAAGAAAAGCTTGATTATTAAATATGCCAAGAGTTTTTTTTTGTTTGCTTTGAATATAACTCTATTCAAAAACAGCATAAAAATTTGATGAAAAAATTTTTTAAATTTTCAAAATAACTATCAAAAGTTGAATTTTGTCATTGGAATAGAATATTCAATATTTTTTCATGCTCTTGAATAGAGTTACATATAAAACAAAGTTTATTGCAAAACTTATGACATACAAAGCGAAATTAAAAGAGAAACAAAAAAAAAAACAAAATTTTACTTGACTTACTTCGTTCATTTGATGTTCGACTTTCATGAAATGATCGTTGTTTCCATTGAATAACTTGTTTATTTGGTTGATTTGTTAAACGACGTTTTTCTGAGATACTTTGACGAAATGGTGTTTCACGTTCAAATGGATTAATACTAAATAATTTATTTATATTTTCTTTAAACAAGTCATTGTTTCTTATTATAAATTTTTCGAACATATACTCAATATTTCAATTCATATGATTTATTCTACTTAAATGCATCTTATAATTCTTCCGTGTGATTTTTCTATAAATATTAGATATTCAACAAATGACTGTGATCATCGGAAGAATCCATCGAGTGATAAATTTTCGCACCCGAACCCAGACTCAGTGTTTTATCCTGATTTGATCAACGTGATAGGCTGTAGCTAGCGGTCTTAGGTTATGCGATGCACTAGTCTACACATGTATGTATTAGATAACGATGATCTTAGATTCATTTCGACTGCTTCTATTGACGTAGATCTATTTCAAATAATTGAATATTCTAAAACATGACTAAACCATGAGAATTAAGCTTTTTTCTAACAAGAAAATCGAACTCAAGGGTGTAGATTCGGAGGATTCCTAAGCATGAAAAACCTTTGGTTTAATTTTTTACAAAATCCAAGCATTTTATTGAAATATCACATTCATAACTTCAGCAGAAAGATGTCATCGGACGAATTCTTTTCGGTTTCTTCTAGTCTCATAGAATCCAATGGAAACTATCAGTTATGAATATTCTCTCATAAAACTAAATTTCTTTTTTAAATTGACAAGAAATAAAATAATCTTACCCGTTATTATCAATATCATCTAAAGTTTCTAAAAAAAAGAAAATATTTTCTATAATATAATCGACTAAAAATTTACTTTGTTCATTTTGTGATTGAATAAATGTTTGTTTACTTCTACATGGTGATTGATTAATTATTGAACGAGTTGTTGCTGATGCTGATCGAGGACTTGTTGAACGCATATCAGAATCTGTTAATCGTGTTGATTCTAATCGAGATGAATGACGATCTAAATAAAAGAAAAAAAAGTTTACATAATTTTTTTTGTCAAAAAAGAATAATTTTTTACGTGATGGTTGTGTTGGAGGTTTTCGTATGAGTGGTGGTGGAACAAATGTAGTAAGATCTAATTCATTTTCATCATTATTTACTGGCATTAATGATGATGATGATGGTGGTGGTGATAAATCAATTTCTTTAACATGTCTTGTAGAATTTATATGTTGATCATCTGTTGTTATTGGTAAACGTGATATAGTTACTTTAATATGTCCAGGATGAATTTCATGTCGTACAGCTTCATGTAAAATAGCAGCAGCTTCTAAATTTAACATATTTATTAATGATGAATCATTTATAACAAGAATTTGATCATTAGGTTTTAATCGATTATCCTAAAAATTAAACAAAAATATATTGAATATAAAGTTTTTTTTTTTTTATAAAAGAACAAGAATTTATAAGACTATAAATCGATTTGTTTTGCTAGATTTCAATTAGAAAAACTAAGAATCGATTCAAATTGTATTGAATAATATATATATGAATTTAAACAAATAATTAGATTTGTAGTTCTATTCTATAACTAAACTTACTCGAGATGCAGCACCACCAGTTAATATACTTTTAACAAATATTCCTAAATCAATAGATTGTCCATCAACAATAGATGTTTTTCCTTTCAATGTTATTCCAAGACCAGCTGAAGATGTATCATTTAATGGTATATCAAATGTCATTATTTGTGGTTTTATTTCAGTTTTTATATCAACTATTTGCATTTCATCATTCATCTTCAATAAATAACAAAAATATTATTTTATTTTATTTTTTTTGTTCATTATAAAATTTGTTTTTACTAGATCTTGTGGTAATGATCCATCACGTTGTCTTGATATACATAATTCAACTGTTTCACCAATACGTGTTTCACGTAATAAACCAACTGTTTCTTGTAATGACATTTGTGTAACATCAATTGAATTAACTGTTAATAAACGATCACCACGTTGTAAACGTCCATCTTCAATAGCAGCACCTTTTGGAAATATTGTTTTAACATATATTGGATTGGCAACACCGGTTGGATTGTCACGTGATGCTAATTTAAAACCAAGACCATCATTTCCTGAAAAACAAAATTAAATTATTTAATTAATAATTCAAATTTAATTCAATTTACAAGCACTAAAATACATAATATTTGATAAATTGAGATCTATATACTTTTTCAATTCGTTATTAACAGTCATTATAGTAATTTTCTCCTTTACATGATTATCTATCATCAATATTTCGTGACTTTTAATATAAATATGTTAAATCGTTCTTAATATGACATTTGAATTTGAGAAATTATCGAGCTTTTAGTAGAGTTGAGACACGCAAGCAGATATATTCTAATTATCTTGAAAGAAATGTAAAGAAAACCTTCTTTTTTTTTTTGACTAACAAATGATGGTTTCTCACTTTTATAAAATAGGTCGATCAAATCTTATGAGTGTTTCAATCATAGATACCATGCTCATCTCATATTGAGTCCGGAAACCTCATCCATAATTTCAATCAACTATTGTTCAGCTTTGTGAAATGTTTTATTTTGCAGTCAAAGAATCATCCATATTTCGATTAGTATAATAAAAGTTTAGATAGTTTTATTTCTAGATCATATGTAATTCTATATCGAGAAGAAACCAAAACAGAATGATACTCATATAGAGTACCAAAACTAGTCCGCTTACGATTCACGTCAAACTTTGTTTGATCACGCGTAGAGTTTTTTTTTGAGATACTTCAGCCTATATAATTTTTGTTCTATTCATCAAGATCTATCTGTCTTGAAAATCTTAAATTTTTTCTGATGATTAAAAAGTGATGAACTAATATATTCTATACCTTTAACAAGTGTAATTTTAATAATTTTTCCTAAACGTCTAGTATTTAATGAATTCATATTTGGATCATTATCAACAAATAATAGATCATTGTTTTGATTAATTTCTGATAATGTTGAACGTGTTTTATTAGTTGAACGAAATGATGTTGGTTTAGGTGGTATTGGTGGTTTTTTCATATTTCGAACAATTTTTAATTCAAGTTCTGGTTCAAGTAATGCTGTTCGAAATATTAATTGAGCTCTAATTTTATTAAATTATCAAAAAAAAAAATAAAAATTTTAGCTTTTTTTTTTTTACTTTTACTTACTTATCAAATGAACATCGTTCAATATTTGTTCGATTTATTTCAATAATTCTATCATTTAATTGTAATATACCTTGTCGTTTAATACGTCCATCAGCTTCAATATTTTGTAAAACAAGACCATTAACTTGTTGTTCATCACCATTATATGGTACAACATGTATACCTAAGGGACTATTTTCTTTTGGTAATATAATTGAAAATATTTTATCACCAGTTATTTCATCTATATAAACATTATACATTCCAGTGATATCATCAGATGATTGAATTTTTGTTGCATCATGTGTTGGTGGTGAATACATTTGTCGATGTTTTATTTTGCTATTAAACGATGATTGTTGTAATATTGACTATAAAGAAATAAAAATAAAAAAAAAAAATATGTTAGGAATGTCTATAAAAACAGGAATTGCTTTTTTACTTGTTGTGAATTCGAATTTGGATCGTTTTTAACACGTAAAGATCGAGCTGAAAAAAAAAATGAGAAAGAACAAAAAAAAAAAACGTTATTCTTTTCTCTATGCTTTTGCTATTCTATTCACATATATGTTTACAAATACTTATATATGACACATATAAATACGTATTTCAGCAGCAAAAAATAAAGACTGAATCATAGTATTACAAAAAAATATATGTCGATTTTTTTTTATGATACTATTTAATATCTAAGTATATTAGTTTGATCTTCATTCTGATTATTTCAATGAATAAAATAGGTTCGATACAACATATATGAAAAAAAGAACCACAATAGATCAATGTTTCATATTTGTTCTTGTAGATTATATTTCATATATAAACAATCAGCACAGTTATTTAATCGTAAATTGCTATAAAAAAATTTTTTCTATAGGAAATTTAATAGCTTGTTAGATATGTAATATTATATATCATAAAAATTAAAGAAGTAAATACATTGAAAAATATGTGGCAGGCCACCTGCTATTTAGATGATCACATATATTTATCATGTGCTCACGTCATTATTATAGTAATTTGACACTACTTGCTGAGAAATTTAAAAATTCTAATCATTTCTCTTTCTGTACAAGAGAAGAAAAAAAAAACGAAAGTGAGTTCAATAATGTTTACACAAAGAGAGAGGTCAGAGGCCGAAACAATCAATCATCAATAAAAATGACTAACAGTGATGTGCAAAATTTTCATTTTCTAACCGTTTCATTTTCTCCTACATTCTTCTTTTCCTTTCACACATTGACCTGATGTAATAGTGGTTTAACTCGCTTTCAGGGACATGTTTTTTTTTTTACGACAACCTTAACATGTAATTTGGCCTATTTCATTCATCAATCGTCACGCACATATACACACACATAGGTGATAAGGGGATGTATAGATATATATTCATATTTCTTCACCATTGTTCTTTTTTGTCTGTTGTTAAATGTTCACTCTTAACATGAACATGTTTTATAAGTTCATATTTCGTCTTTTTTTTATATTTATTGTTTAAACTACAAGATTGATAACGATCTATTAAGATATAAGACATACTTCGAAGATCGGCATCAGTCACAATCACTTCATGACGATTATTTGAATTTGATACCATTAAACGATCATGTTCTGATAAACTTGATGATAAATTTGAACTAGTTACACTTGAAGATAAATCACCATTGCTATTTATAGTTGTTGTATATGAAGGATAATTTGATTGTTGACAATCAATAATAGCATATAACTAATTCAATTTTTAATTAAAAATAAACAAAATGTATATATATATTTATATTTATATACTTGCTTACCTCTTCTCGATCATCAACTACATCACACACTCGATCATCAGGATCTACAACAGCACCATTATTAAGTCTTAATTGAACTTGATCACTGTTCAAAACTGAACCATTATTGTATGACTAAAAAAAAAGATAAAAGTTACTTTGATCGACATATAAAGACATATGTTTTTGTATACTAATGATTACTATCATATTCGATATATCGATCTGTCTAACAATAGTAATTGAATATTCTTACCAATTTACAATATTTAGCTGTTGCTGTATTAATTAATTCCCGTATAGATATATCGCCATCATTACCACATGGTACGACGACTCTTTTTTCACCAAAATTAATAATAACTTTCATTGAAATTTACAAAAAAAAGAATTCGAGCAATAAAAGGATAAATTAATCAATCGTAATTTCAGACAATACATCTTAAAACTAGAAGAGAACAAAAAAAAAATATATATATATGATGATTTTAATGATGTGCAAGAAAAAAAAAAGACATGAAGAACGAGAGTAGAGGTAAAAAAGACTCATGTTTCTCTTCGATGTCATGTACATGTATCTGTATGCAAGCGTATAACAACGTCGTCCATCCATTGAGAGGAGGGAACAAAACAGTGAGAGATCGATCAATTGGTCGCTGAAAGGAGGAATACAACTACTATATATATATATACACTATTATGTTTGTGAAATAGATATTGTTTAAAATAAAATGAAGATAATTATAAAAAGATAAAATGAATAAAAAGGTAGATATGATATATATATATACATTTATTTTTAGTGACTTACAGAAATTTTTTTTTTTTTTGTTTAGTATTTTCTTTTTCTTATGAACGATCAGAAGAGGAGTCGTCAAAATAGGTGCATATAGAAAAAGAGAATGGAAAGAAAGGAACAACAGAATAGACAAAAAAGGTAATTCATCATTTCAATTGGATGAAAAGTGATGACAAGCAACGAACACCTATTTAAGAGGGCGCCGAAGAGCAGAAGTAAGCAAAAAAAAAAAAATATGTTCACACTTTATTTTAAGTGATTTTAAAGTGCAAAGATCGAAGCAAAACAAATTTAAATACGTTGTTTGTTAAATATAATATTGTTTTGCATGAAATTTCAAATTATATTAAATTCAAAAGATTTTATTTGAATAATATTCATAGATTGAAATGAATTTGTTTGTCATAATTTTTCTTGTGTTGTATGTGTGTGTATATGATTAATTCTTAAAATTTTTTCTTTCATATACAAAATAATCAAATTTTGAAATTACATAAGATATGAACTTTATTATGTGATTATGAAAAAAATGTTTTAATTTATTTTGTTGTTACAATTTATGGACGAAGATAATAATAGATTATTTACTTCTATCTTATCAACTGACAGCAATTATCAGTTCGACAGTCGTGTATGTCGTGTTAACATAGATAAACGAAAACTATAGTCAATGTCTTTTTTTGGTTTTTATATTAAGACACAAACAATTTATTCGTTGTTATTTTCGAGCGACTCACCAAAATAAAATTTATTATTGGTTTGATTTCAAACGACTAAAATGTTTTTTTCTTTTTCATGATACAGTTTATGATTCATATTAATAAAAATGAATTCCTTAAATAATAAACTTGTTTCTGACTTTTTTTTTCCAGTTTGTAATTAACTCTTATTTTGTATTGTAATCTTCATTCGAAAGAGCACAAGTGTAAACAGTTGTTTTCGTACATGACTACAAAAGTAAATGACGTCAGGCTTTCAAATATGGATAATGTATACAACTGTGATACATAGATCTCATTCGGTCTTAGGATAGTTGTGAGTCGAGTTGTGTCTATCGAGTATATAATTTTTCTGTTTAAACTTCAGTAACAAATACAATGATAAATATTCATATTACAATAAATAGTTCTTTTTTTTATTTAGATTAAATTAAGTAAAAAATTGAATAGTAAGCATTTTTATTTTAAAACTAATTATTTTTTTATTTTAAACAAAATCGAACAATAAATTGAACGTTGAGTATTTTAGTTTAAAAAATTATTTCTATTCTATTATTTAAATCAATTAAAACAATAGATTAGATAGTAAATATATTTTTCAAGTGAAGAAATAATATTTGTTGTATTTCATCAGAGCGGATAAGTCTTTTCCTGTTGAATAAATGAAAGCATATGTGAATACGATGCCACAGAGCATCGTATAATATCGTTTGTGACATTTGGAATGCTTGTCTTGAGAAGAGATGAATCGACGGATAAGTTTAACAGATGCAACAAATAAATAACAGATAATTAGTTTTATATATACTCTCTTTCAATTTGTGATATTAATAAAAGTACCATTGAATGGTTATAATAATGACTGTAATAAAATTCTATTATATATATATTTTAGATAGACATTAGATTAACCAATGAAGTATTAGTCATTAGGATTTTTTTGAAAACTAAAAAATCTAGTTGACTTTTCAACTGATATCAAAATGAATACTTCAAACGAAAATCAATATATAAATCGAGAATATTATTTATGTATGTCAAAAAATTTTCAACGTTCAACAAATCTTCTTCAACAAGTTTATGAAAAACAGGTTGTACTTGAAAATATTTTTATACGAGATATTACAGCATATGGTACTGTTCGAGTTAACAATTGTTCATTTGATAAAAAAGTTTCGATACGATTTACAATCGATCAATGGAAGAGTTTTTATATAATAAATGCATATCATTCAATGTATTATGCAGATAGTAATACAGACTCATTTCAATTTAAATTAACTGTACCTATCGATAAATTATCAAGATTATCACCACAAAATTCTATATCAATAATGAATATTTCATTTGCAATTTGTTATGCTGTTAAAGGAGAAGAATTTTGGGATAATAATTATTCGCGAAATTATAACCTTGAAATAATCGAAAAGTACGCAAGTTTTTCTCTTATTTATATTATGTCGTATTTGAAATTCCATAATCTTCAATTGAGATACAAATTCGTATTTTACAAAAACTATTATTTTGAAACAATCTGATGATAGCTGTTCAATCTTAGAAAGAAAATTCTGAATACATAGCTATTCGAAAAGAACGAAAAAGTTCAATTCTAACTTAAATTTACTGCTGAAAAATAAGTGAATATTTTCTACTAAGACTTGCACGCCAAAGATTATACATTCTATAAAGATATTTATTTTCAATCAATATCAATAATTTGCAGTTAAAAACCTTTTAGGATAGATTTTCTTTTTTCAAAGATTCATTATTTAATTAAAATAAAATAGAACATGATGAATTAACAAATTCTGTATCTAAGACAGAATTATTAGAAAATTTTCGTTGACTTCCTTGTTATTTTCATTGCGTCAGAGCATTAAGTTTACGACGAAAGTATCTAAGTTTTACACTAATATATACTTATTCTAATTTATTCATTTTTATAATAGTACACAAAAAAGAACTAATTCGATAATAGATCAATCATCTATAAGAAAATCTATTCTATGCGATGATAGACTACGTAGACAAATTGCACAAGATTATCAAGCAATTTCTAATGAATTTCGACAAATAGGAAATATATGTGGATTAAAAAATCTTGGGGGAACATGTTATATGAATTCTGTTTTGCAATCATTATTATTTACTTCATCATTAACAAATTATTTTTTGTTGAATGAAAATATTCAAGATAGTACAATGAAGAATATATCAGTTTCAAAAGAAATAATTGCTAGTGAATATTTGAATTTATTATATTTATTATATTGTGGTGAATATAATGTTGTTACACCAGCACCATTTAAACAAGTCATTGGTCATATACATCATAATTATTTAGAAAATCAACAACAGGATGCACATGAATTTCTTATATTTTTACTTGATTATCTACATAAAGATTTAAATAGAGTAATAATCTTTAATAGTGATAGTAGAAGAAAATTTTCTCTCTTTTATTCTCATAGATAAAATTTACTGAAGTCTTGAATCAAACTCAGGAAATCGAACGTAATGCAGTTAATCAAATAAATAATCATTCCATTATTGTTGACTTATTCTATGTAAGTATTGTTACTGAAACCCACTAGCACAATCTCTGAAGAATTAAAATGCGACACACAAAATAGCTGCACTTGTTAATCATTAGGAGGTTGTTTTGTTCTATTTGCAAGATGTTATTCGTATACGACTTGTCACCATCTGTGAAGGAAGACAATCATTTCAAATTTTTACTACTATATTTCGTATACTAGAGACTTGCGGTACTAACTTTAATCTTAGTTCTGGTAATCGATACCATGATTAGAACTACGAGAAAACCATTGTCCTAACCGAATTTGAAGATTATACTTAAAATATTGTATGATTCTAAGTGAGTTATCTAAAAAGTGATCAATCAGAGTGTTATTCAAGAAAGATACTCCAGAAAAGTGCTAACCGTCGATTAGATAAATAAAAAACAATTATCAAAGACTTTCTTAAATGTCATATAAATAAATTCTGCAATAGTCTTCGTTAGAACGAAACCTAGAAAACTAAAATTACCGAAAAATAACCAATAGAAAATAAGTTACTAGAGTCAGAACAAAAAAAAACCTTAGTCTCTATACAACATTACTCTTAGATCGTCTTTCATGAAAAAAAAAAGCATTTATTTTTTTCTATTATATTTCTATCAAGGGTACCTATCTATCGACAATAACATGTCTAGATTGTACGTATACTTCACATAATTATGAACCATTTAATTGTCTTACTCTTCCAATTTCATCAACAAATCAATGTACATTAGAAGATTGTCTTAGACATTTCAATGAAGATGAATATTTAAGTGATGATTCAAAATGGTTTTGTATGTCAAAAATAGAATCGATATAAATATCTATATATATATATATTTTTTTTCTAGGTCCTGGATGTCAATGTCTTTGTAATAGAAAAAGACGTTTAGAAATTTATAAATTACCAAAAATATTAATCATTCAACTTAAACGGTAAGACTAAATAAAAATTAATAGATATAAATCTTTTGAAAAAATTAATATAGATTTCAAATAAATTATGAAATGAATTGGATTAAAAATAATACTCTTGTACTTTATCCTGAGAATAATCTTGATTTAAATCAATATTGTTCTTTATCATCTCCATCACAATCATCTTATACACTTTATTCAGTTATTAATCATGATGGTTCATTGAATGATGGACATTACACAACATTTTGTCGAGATATTATGGATAATCAACAACAATGGTTTGAATGTGATGATGAAATAATAAAATATTTACATTCAGATAATTTATATTTCAATTCAAAAGCTTATCTCTTATTCTATACGATGA